GCCCCAGCACAGGACTGCAGATGCCACATGCAGAGAAGTGACCCGGCGGGTCCGTCTGTGCTGATTTCCCATCTGAGGCATCCGAAGGAAAAGTAAGAAGGGCAGAGACTTCAAGGTGAAGTCAGATTTATTTACATTTCAGTTCCCCAGCAACACACACCAGAGGCTGAACTTGAAATAGTGAGACCAGAAGAGGGATTACTCATCCACAGAACAAATTTAAAATAAAGATGAGAAGAGCAGTCATGTCAGTGCCCAGTGCACCTGGAGGCAGCGTTGCACAGCAGTGGGCCATGTGGACGTCCACCTTCAGAACCAGTTTCTCCTGGGCCAACTGTAGCCTGGCCTCCAGCCTCTTCTGCAGCCCCTCCTAGTGCTCTGCCTGGTCCTGGGGCCACCGAACTCAGCCTGCCTCCAACTCGTTGTGTGAACACAGATTCTCAGTGATTTTGAGTCTCAGTTTCCTCAGCTGTGAAATGGGGGGATCGACCCAGCCTCAGAGCTTACGTGGGGTTTAGGTGGCACTGTGTGATAGGTTGGCACATGGCAAATGCCAGTTTTCTGCCCTTCCACCCTTTTTCTGCCTCAGCCCTTGGCCCATGGCTCCTGTGATGGGGGTAGAGCTCTGCATGACTATTGTCAGGGCCCTCAGGTAGCAGCTGCTTATAGGAAAGGTGAAGTCAGAGCTTTTGATCTGATGACTTTTAGACCTGTGTTGTGAGGGGTGTGTTGTCCCTCAGGAGCAATGGCATCCTTAGAAATGACACCTCTCTGCACTGCTCCTTGTTAAGCGCCAGAGGGTGTCTATGTGACTGGGCATCTCATAATCAGAATAGCTGGCCCTGCGAGAGAATTGGCACCTTCTCCTTGTTAAAGATTCTGGTTTCCATGTGAATAGGCACAATGCAGCATGAAACCCAAGCCTGCCTCTGCAAACTAGCTGGGGACAGGGCGTCCATCTCAGCAGACCGTATGTAGAAAACTCCCCTTTATGCTGAGAAGTGAATGCAAAGTCTTTGTCCCATTAAATCACATGGGAACCCTAAAATGTTGAATAAAAGACAATCAGCTTATTCCGAAAGCACAGTTAATGTCCAGTGGTTTGATGGTCACTCCCCCAGGATCACAACATGACTGTCCAGTGACTCGAGTGACTCCTGAGTATTTACCACAACTGCTAGTGCTGCCCGTTTCCTAAGCCTGGACTGTGGATTCCCTGCTGTGGAGGCTGGATGCTAATGGACAATGAGCCCAATGTGGGCAGGTGCAGTGCCTGGGCCTCGGGCTGCTGAGCCAGCATGGACTGTGTACACTTGTCACCAGGGGCCTGTCCTCTCTAGCAGGGACAGCTCCTGATTCCATAGCGTCACACTCCACTAGCAGGTGGACGGTGCAGGTGGCCCACTGCAGTCCCCCAGCTTCCAGAGCCTGGGAGGGTAGGTGGGGGGCCAGGAAGGAGGCCCCAGTCACAGAGACCCTTTCTGTAGGCTCCCGGTGCCCTGGCCAGAGAGCCTTAATACCTCCTGGGCTGATTGGGTACCTCTGCCGAAAAAGCTTTTGCCGCTCAGGTTTCTCCCCACTCTCACTCCCCTCCCTCCCTTCAGGGGCCTAAGTTCTGCCCTGTCTTCCCCCACCTGCCGCCTTCGCCGCTTCCTTCCCTCTGCCTGAGCCTTCCCGGCCAGCTCGGCTCCCTCCTGGACAGATGCCTGTTTCTCCTGCTCTCCTGTCCCTCCTTTCATCCTCTGCTCCCCCGCTCCATCTCCTCTCCTTCCTTTATGGAGATGGGCAGCCTGCAGCCCCTCTGCATTGTCTTTTATGGTTCCATGAGCTGACCCTGTGGCTCCCTTCTCACACTTTCCTTTGGAGGAGAACCCCGCCTTGTTTGCTCTGTGCTCATTTTCACATTCAAGGTCGGCCGGCGGCCCGTGGGGCAGTACGAAGCAGTTCCCAGTACGTGTGCACATGCGCGTGCACAGGCACATGTGTGTGCACAGGCACACACGCACACACACGTGCACACGCACACATTTTTTTCAGCAACCATAATCTTAGTCTCAAAACCGGAACCCCTATTTTATTTGTCTTTCAATAATCTTTATTGAGAACCAGCTACAAGCCACATGCTATTCTAGATAGTGGGGATAGAGCAGTGAACAAAACATAAAAACCTGCACCTTGTGGGTCACAATGTAGTGGGGGGGTGCAGGGCAGGCAGGGGTGAGAGCTGAGAGGTCCAGCTCGAGGGGCAAGGAACTGCAAAGGTCTTGAGGCGGGAACATGGTTAGTGTGTCCAGGGAACACCTTGCAGCGGAGCCTCCCTGAACCAAGGTTTGCTGGGGCCCTCAGCTAGAGACCTATACACGTGGCCCCTTTCTGGGCTAGACTTTGGTTTCCCTCCAGATTGTCACTCAGCTCTCCTCAGGACGTGGATGTGGCCACAGATTAGCAAGTGGCTGCCTCCTGCCCAAATCCTCACTGAGGATCGAATGCCTGGTCACTGGTGCTTAAAATCCTTCAGATCCCACAGGAACGTGGTGAGAGGGGAAGGAGCAGGGAGTTTAAACCCAGCCCAGCACCCGTCGGAGGAGGCTGGCCCTTCTTGAACCTCCGCGTGTGGAAGGGGCCGCTGGGGAGGCGTCTTCAATTCGGCAGAGCCCCCCTGCAGAGGGGGCCCTGCTCTGTGACCTGAGGGACAGCTCAGGCCATCGGCCAGGGAGGGTGTGCGGGAGCCCGGGAGCCCACGGACTCAGGCTCGTTCCCTTGCGCCGGGGGCTGGAGGAGCAGGGCTGGCGGAGGAGGCCGCCGGGGCCACACGCCGCTGGGCTGCGTGCCCGCCAGGCTCTGCCAGGCTCTGCCAGGCTCTGCCGGGACCAGCAGGGAGCGGAAGGGAACCTTGGGCCCAGGCCTGTTTAAGAGCCGGAGGAGGAGGGCCCTAGGGGGGCAAAGGCGGCACGTGGCTGCCGGTCCATGGCGAGGAAACGTGACTGTTTGGGGAGGACTGTGCTGTACACGTGCACACCCCAAGGAGGGTCACCCCAAGGAGGGTCACCCTGCCTGCGTTTTCACTAGCCACAGAATCAAAACGACTGTCCTCCACCGTGAAGAGGCAAAATGAACGCACTTAGCTAGGCCTCTGGCTTCGGCTTCGGTTACACCCCTTCAGAGCAGGCAGAGCCTCGAGCCGTTTTCATCAGTTTACAAGCCTCCCTCGGATCCGTCTCTCTGCCTCTGGTTTCCCGCTCCCCTGCGGGAGCCTGAGCCGTGTGGGGGCCCCACCGCCTCCCACCTGAGGCAGCCCGAGGGGTAACAGGGCACCCCTGCCCGCCCTCGTCAGTGGGTGCAAATGCCGTTTCCTCAGGACTTTTCCGTTTGCACTGATCCCTCTGTTGCCATCCAAGAGCTCCCTGAAAGTCACCAGATGTGCAGACAGGGAGCTCACACCCGCATTCTCTCTGTCACCTGGGCATCCTGCGACGTGAAGTCCCTCTCTACGCCCGGGACAAGCTGGGCTCCTGCGCCGGCTTGCTTCATCCTCACTGCAGCCCGGAGTCCTTCCTAAGGGAAGGACAGTATTTGCCTTTTCAAACAGGAATCTGGACATGAGCCCTCTGTCGTCCCACAGATGCCCTTGAGGGAGGGGTGTGAGTAGTGGGAAACCTGTAAGCAGAGAAAATAAACAAGGTTTCATTAATCAAAGAGAGGTACTTGGGGGCTCTAAGATTAGGATGTTGGAAAGGCACGACAGATTTTATTTTCTTTTGTCTTATTTTACTTTATTTAAAGCCAAGAAACTTCTACTCTCTGTAAGGATTTCCATTCTGTTCTAGCATGTTCCTCATGAGGCCTCCTTCTCGCCTGAACCCTACAGTCATGTCACATTTCTGTGCTCATCTACTAAGAAGGCCCCTGCCAGGGTCAGGGCTGCCTGGGGGGGCTCTGAGCCTCCTCAGTCCCGGAGACCTGCTGCTCCAGAGCCCACGGCCCTGGAAGGGTCAGCTAACCTCTTTGGTCTGTGACTGAACTGAAGCCCCTGTCAGCTTTCCTGCCTGAGTCTTGTGAGCAAATACAGTTGCCTGACACAGTTCTCACTATCAGCTCACAACTAGCCATTCTTCAAACCCCAAAGTAGCAAAGAACTTTGCTGTGTTTCCCAGTCCTCACAAGTACCCTAGGCTGAGGGCCTAGGGTCATTAGGTATTTTACAAGAGGGGTTTGCCATGGTTCATGGGCAACAAAGAGGCTCACCTTCTGGGCCCTCAGCTGGGCTTTTTACCACTAAGTTTATTCTTTCCCTGTCTTCAAATAAGCTTTCAAAGAAAGTTGAATTTAAATAATTAGTCCTGGTACAAATACTGGAAGGAAGAATGCAGCCAAGTCCCCTAACTAGACTGCCTGCTCTTTACTAGGGGCCTCGGAGGCCTCTTGCAGGTCACACCGATTGGCTCAGCCAGGGCCTTGGGAGACCAAATGAGGAAGACCCATCCCAACTTGTTAACTTGCCCTCGGTTTTCCCTAAAGGTTTCTCTTGCCCAGAGCATCCAGTTATAGACAGTGTAGAGAAACAAACCAAAAAAAATTGGCGAGGCCCAAAGACCCGGCCCCCAGACCTGTGTCTGACAAACCCAGGGCCTCACACGGGTCACAGAGCCTCCCTGAGCTGTCATGTCAGAGAAGTGCTGCTGCGTGCACACTTGCTGGGTAAACGCAGGGCTGGGGCCTGACCTTGGGCTCTAGGGTCTCAGGGCACAGCTCTACCCCTTCCCTGCATGTGCCTCCCCGGACCTAGCAGTGCTGGGAACTCCCCCTCCCCCAGCCCCTCACTGATTTATTAGGAAGAGCAGGTCACATGCTGTGTGTGCCCGGCCCCCAGAGGCATCAGCTACTCTTTTTAGGTTGAGTTCACCCAAAGAAGAGCTCACAAGTGCCCCGGGTGACACAGTGGCCCTATGCATGCCCTGCCTTCCTCTCCTGACTTTTGGCCCTGCTTCTCCTGCCTGCAGGTACCTGGCGCTCTACCCCTACAAGCCGCAGAAGAGTGACGAGCTGGAGCTGCGCAAGGGCGAGATGTACCGCGTCCTTGAGAAGTGTCAGGACGGCTGGTTCAAGGGCACATCCCTGAGGTCTGGGCTCTCTGGGGTGTTCCCAGGAAACTATGTGACGCCTGCTTCCAGGTGAGGTCATAGTCGCTGCCTGGGAGAGGAGGGAGGACGCCCCCACATTCCCCTGCAGCTGTTGTCACTGGCTGGAGGTCATGCTGTGTCTGGGCCACCCGAAAACACAATTTAGAAGGCAGCCGGGACACCCCTGCCTGTGGGGTTCGGCCCTATGAGCTCAGTGTCCCCTTGAACAAGGGTTCTAGGTGGCAAGCTTGTCCCCTTGTGAATTAGGTTTGCTTGTCTCTCCCCGAGTAGACACTGGCTGCCCAGCGAGAGGATGGACCGGAATGAGCTGTCGTCAGGGCATTAGCACTAAGTGGGGACAAAAAGTCACCAAGGAAGGAGAGATCTCAAGGGTGTGGCTGTGGCTGTGTGGGGGTGGGGGTGTCTGTGCACAGTGCAAGTATGGTGGGCGCATATGTGATCACGTGGACCTGCTCCATGTAAAACAGTCACACACGCCTTTGGGCAAAAGAAATGATGCCCTCCCGAAAGTCAGCAACTGTGATTAAGTGGTAGCATCATAGATAAAAGTGTTTCTTCCTTGCGTTTTCCTGTGTTTTACAAAATTCCTGTTACATTATTTTTACAAAAGCAGAGCAATTTAAAAAAGTCACTAAAAGTGTTATCCAGAGTTGTCTGAGAATTTCCCATTGAGATGAGGGCCGCTGCTTGATCTTATTTCAGTCCATCTCACTCATGGGAACCCTTTATGGATACAGAGCTGTGTCAACATCCAGGGCACACAAATAACCGGGAGACATGGCCCTTGGGGCTATGCTCTCTTTGAAACGACTGCTGTGAGAAAAATCAAACCGCTCACACCTCTCATTGGTGGCTAGACTGGTCCACGCTTCTAAGCGCCTGAGGGCACTGGCGGACTAGAGGCAGGCTTGCACCTCACGCCCTCCCATGGCCTTTCTTGGGAAGGGCCCACTTTATTTAATTTTAAAAAGTTTCCTAGGGTAAAAGTGAGTTCAGAAGGTAGTCAATGTGATTAAAATGATGTCATGGTTTTGGCTGGCCAGCCAACACATTCCTGCTGGAAGCGAGTTTCAGGGCAGCTCTATGGGCTGATGAAGGAAGGTGCTCCCGTGGTCCCGGACCTCGGAGGCTTTCCTAGGGGCCTTTTCCACAGCTGTTCTGCAGAGCCTGACTCCATGCTGCTCAGGCTTTTCCATTTGAAGTCAGACCCAATGGTACCAAGTCACACAGAGAGGGGCCCCTCTGACCTGGTCCAGGAGCCACCAGCCCAGCAGTGCCTGTTCTCTCCCAGGCGTGGCTTCTGGTGTCTCATAACAGAGATCCCAAGAGGATGAAAGGGAGTTTACTGAGCTCCTGGACAAATGGAAGACATTCCAATCCCCTGAAACTAAACCCCTAGAAGCTTGCAAGACCCAACTGCCCTATCCTGCACCCCCACAGCCAGTGCAGACATGCACAGTGCACAAGGGTGGAGAGCCCCTCTTCCAAGCTGCTGTATTTCTGAAACACTCCACACTGGTTTCATTTGGAAACCCCGGGGTGAAAGAGCATCTGTTTTCTAGTATGAAGCTGCTCCCTGACATCTCTCAGGAAGACATGGTCTGTCGGTGCCCTTCCCAGAGGCTCGCAGAGCAAGGCATTGGCCATGTCCGGAGGGAGTGGGCCCTGCCACTGCTTCCCGCCACGTGCCAAATGTGTCCAAGCCTCGTGGGCTGTGACTGAGTCATCCGCTTTTTCTGGATGTGTTTAGGGACACAGCTGTTTGTTAGAATGAGTCAAAACAGTAGCTCTGGTACAAAACATTTTATTGATTGGAATCGTTCCTCTGTTATAGGGTTCTTTTGCTGTTCCTTGAATATTTGCACTGAGAGGTAGCCCCATGAAGGTTTATGAAGGGTGCCCTCTCAGCTGGAGCTCTGGGCACGGTTTGCCTACAAGGGCTATCCTGGTGTTGTTTTAGGATTTGTCTCCTGGGCTGCATGGCCTTCATCCCAGAGCCAGTGTGGGAGAGCAGGCCTTTATCTGTGTCCCATGTGGTGTTGCCTGCACTGTCACCTGAATTCATTCTACTTTGTTTCCTCAGGGCGCCCTTAGGAGGGGCTGGGCCGCTCCGGAATAATGTGGTTGGAGGGTCTCCACTGGCAAAAGGAATGGCCACAACCATCCAGCCAGGCGGTGGAAGTCTGAGCAGCCCTGCCACTGCCATGAGACCAGCCCTTCCCCTCACCGTGCCCCAGGCCCAGCACCAGGCAGCCTCTCCCCCTGTGGGCAGTTGTCTGTGGCACTCAGCTCTGCCAGCAGCCAGCCAAGCCCGGAGCACTCTCCCCACAGGTATGTACCAGTCTTTCTGGGACCTCACTCTCCAGAAAATTTGACAAGGGGCTCGGGTCTCGGGGACACACATCATAGGAACATTTCGGCCCGGGTCTCGAGTAGTTCACAGCAGGAATGGGGTGCAGGGCAGGTTGTATTGGTTTGTCATAATCACCAACCCCTGCTGATGTCCAGGAAATGTACAGACTCACCCTGTCCTGGCAGCTGAAACGGATGAGAGGATTTACCAATGTTAATGCATTTCACTGTGGCATTAATAAGATTCACAGTGCGCTTTGGGATCCCCATGAGGCTGTGAGGTGGCTGTGGGTAGCCTCCCAGGCCTGCCATGTGCCAGGCGCTGAAGGGTTTGCCATTGGGCAGCGCCTCCCAGCAAAGAACTGGTTGAGACACAGACCAGAGTGTCCCTGCCTGAGATGCTCTGAAGCCAGAAGGAGGGATGGGCACCGACCCTTTACCCCCATGTCAGCGTTACCAGTAGACAGGCTGACAGTATACGGAAGCACTGGTTTGCTCCCGGGATGGTGTGAAGTGAAGAGAAAGGATGGGGCGGGTCTCATGGGCATAAAGAAGGTAAACACAGCTCGTTTGGAAACTTAGCTTCAAGCTAATGAGAACTGCCTGGGCTTGTCCCGCGACACTCCCAGGAGCCCACACCAGTCACCTGAAGCCACAGAGCCAGCAGCACTGTTGCCATGCAGTGAACAAAACCCAGGACAGAAGGACAGAACTCTGAATTTCACTTACATGACACAGAATTCCTTTCCCACCCCAGCCTCACTCTCTCAGAAGTCATGCCTCTTCTCTAAGTAAGGCTTAAAAGACAGAAGAATGGGGACCCTGGAGTGTTCAAGTACACTGCCTTTAGAAGCTAGTGACCAGGAGACGAGCCATTACTGTTCCAGAAAGCAGCCACTCGGGGGCGAAGAGTCCAGATAATCCTTAGCGCAGCAGGGCCAGATTTCCTCCTGGGGCACAGCTGATGGGACAAAGGGTGGGAGGTAGATGTCATCTCGCCACCCCACCCTACCCCCGTTACTCTTTAGGAAGGTGGTCTGCACATTCCCACGCTGATGCCAAGCTGGGTGGCAGGCGGCACCCCTGAACATGATATGAACCGGCTGGAGTCAGTGTGCCCCCTAACAGCAGGCCGCATGCCTGCTCTCCGCTCCCACAGGCAACTGCCAGTGGGCAGCGCTGGCCGGGAGGCTCTGATTCGGGGCACCGTGATGGGGCAGGGAGAGTGGGAAAGGCTCCTCTGAAGAGTCCGTCCCCGAAGGAGCAGCAAAGTAGCACTCAGGTAGGGGAGCAGAGAAGGGTGCCCGCTGAAGCAGCGGGAAAGGAACAGTTAAATCGAAGTGGGAGAAGGCACGGTCTCACTCAGCCAGCAGCAAGAAGCTCATAGAGACAGAGCTGACGGAGGCCTGGGCGAGGGCGTGACTTGGGAGGCGGGCAGACTGGTTTGAATGCGGGGCTACAGTTACTGCTGGGGCCCCAGTGTCTTCCTCTGAAAGATGGACACTGTGCGGGCACCTACGTGGCATACACAGCATGTGTGCATACTCGACAGCTATCTTAGTGTTCCACTGGAGAATAAGAATATTAGTGGAGTACTCAACGCATGAGAGTCAAAAGTGTAAACATGAAAGTTGCCACAGGACCTGGGGGCTGAATTCTCTCTTGGAGGCAGTGGGGACCCACCGTGGGATTTGAAGCAGAGGGCGGACACTTTAGCAGCTATCAGCAGGCACGGCAGGGAGAGGGGTTGGGGTGGGCAGCCTGCGGCCGGGAGCCAGGGGAAAGGTGTTGCTCTGCTGGCTGAGAGGTGACGAGGGCCTGGCCCAGTGAGTGGGGCCGCGGCACTGGGACAAGGTAATGAGTGATTTAGGAGGCAGAACATTATGACTTGGAGATGGTCCGAATGGAAGTGCTCAGGCGTGTGAGGAACCGGGCCCAGTTTCTAGGTTTCTGGAACCATTGGACTGGGAGTATGACAGTGGCATCCCCTGACTTAGAGGAGACAGAGGGTACTTGTTTATGAAGGGAGATGATGACATGTGGCTTTGAGGGGTGCGGGGGGGCTGGTCACACTGTGGCCTTCTGGCTGATTTGGAGCCGCCCCCAAGAGAGGTTCCCATCCGTGTATGAGTCCTGCCTGCACAGTAGGAGGCAGACCCTGCTCCCCCAGCCTGCCCTTCAGGTCAGGTGCAGACACACCACCTGAACTTGGCACGGGTCCTCCACTCAGATGGCAAAAACGAGAGGCCACCTGGATCCCTTTGGGGGGATGCTGGTGGTGGTGAAACCATCCCTGGCTTTTGAGGGGCAGCAGGGGGAGCTGTGGTGTGCAGTGCCCGGTCACCACTGGGTGTGGGTGGACTTTGGAAAGGCCGTGTCTGGAATGCTGGGTGGGATCTGGCCCAAGGAAGCCTCATGGACGGACTTGGCACTTCCCTGGCCAGAGAGCCTCCAAGGCTGACCCTGCTGTCCCAGAGACTCTGTAAGTGCCTAGTAGTCTTTCATATGTAATATTTTTTTCTTAAATTAGTCAAGAGTGAGTTTTGTGTTTTGGCAGCTTTGGCCTCTGGGGGCCTGGAAAGAACTAGCAGCCATATCATCTGATGCCAGCCCTCTTAGCCCCAACCGTCACCTTCTGATTAGCTGGGCTTCTAACGTGGCTTCAGTTCAGCGGATGCTGTTTAGTGGGAGCCTCCAGCTGAGGACACAGCCCTTCTAGTAGCCGGGTGATCAAGTGAACCCACAGGGGAGCTTCCTGACTGGGGCTCTACACCAAATCCTGATCTCCTTGGCCCTTGGAGTACCTGGGCAGGATTCAGGGCACCTAAAGTCTCAGACCAGGTCCCTGCTGGTTATAAACATACTGTCCATTCACCCTGCATGCCATGCAAATGTCCCTCTGTGCGCCACCACAGCCCTGCGCTCCCTGCGAGCGCACGTCCCAGCACGGCAGCCCGGGTTATCCACACAAAATGCCAGTGTAGCAGCCTTTCCGTGCCATGTTTGCTAACTACTCTCCAATTCAGAGCAGAAAATGAGACCTGCCAGTCATTTCTCCCTCTGCTAAATAACAAGCGGAACCCAAAGGAGCTGGCGTGGCGAGGGGCAGTACAACACCGTGTCTCAGTCAATGATCGCCATAGTGACTACCACGATGGGACAGGCATTCTCTTCCCTCGGTTTGATTGTACACACGGAGGAGTGACGCACAGGGTGGTTAAAATGGCTTCCCCAGTGCATTCCAAACCGAATACTTGTCCCCATATTATTGCTGTCACCTCCAGGTTAAAGAATGGCTCCTACCACATCCTATCGTAAATTAAATGCCACTGAGTTCCCACAGCACTTTCCACTTTGACAGTACAAGTAATGGGTTGTTTGGGGCTGTAATTGCCCATTGCAGCCGCTCCCAACCCAGGCAGTGAGAGGCATGTCATTAATGCTCTCATCTGGAGCCAGTGTCTGGCAGTTTGACAAAAGTTTAATTGCATTAGCCATAGCATCCAATATGATTTGTTCTACATAATTAATGCCACTCCTTGTTTTAAAGGCAGCCCCCCCGCCCCCCGTAAAGTACAGTGTCCACACAGCCTCATATCAGTGCTCAGCAGGGGCAAGAGCCCAGTACAGCCGTGTATTCATCAGCAGAAAGCACTGAAAGAAAGCTTTGTGCACACAAGGCGCTCTACTAGGGCCTGGAAATGCAGGGAATATTCAGGTAGACCCCATTTCTACCCCCAATTAGAGAGAAGGGCAAGGAAACAAGCTCTTTCAGTAGATTTTGAGAAACACTGACAGAGGGAAACGTAGGGTATTCAGAAAGCATGGAGGAGAGAGAATGTACTCAGATTGGGAGGCAAGTAGGAGAGGGGTGGGAGAGGTTTATGGAAAGTTTTCAAGAGGAAGTGATACTGCTTTGAGTTAAAGCAGAGAGAGAGAGTTCTGGCCAAAAGACTAACAAGGGCACAGTCATGGCAGAGTCCCTATTGCGGGTAACCTCATTTAGTTTGATGTGCCTGAAACAAAAAGCATGGAAGGAGAATGATAGTAAATTTCTCTGTTGAGGCACAATTTACTTTTAGATCCTAAAGATGAGTAGAACTTAGCATGCAATGGTGGGTGAGGTGAGAGAGGCTAGTGCAGGACTGGAGCCTTTGAGAACTAAAACCAGGTCAGTGGGGAGGAACAGGGGAAGCAAGAGGATGAGTGCCCTGTGGTGACGCTGAGCGGGTGTGCAGGGCAGACCATGCAGGTTCTTCTAGGTGACATCTAGGTGAATTTCAATTTCTATCCTAAGGGCAAAGGAGCATCTTAGAGGGTTTTAAATAATAGATATAATCATATTTCTGTATCTGAAGGGTAAAGCTAGACTTTTTTCAATTTTATTTTATTTATTTATTTATTTATTTATTTATTTATTAAAGAGTTGAAATACAGTATATTTTTTCAAGAGTACAACATAGTTATTCGACATTTATATATCATACAGAGGAGCAGGAAAATATGATTGTCAGCAAAGAGATAAATCAATCAACCTAAACTGACCCAGAACCAATGTACATGTTAGAATTAGCAAAGACATTTAAGACAGATATTATAATTACATTCCATATGCTTAGAAAGTTGAGACTTAGGAGGTATTTATAAGACCCAATCAAACTTTTAGAAATGAAAACTATAGTATGTGAGGTCAAGAATATACTTGATGGAATTAATGAGAAATTAAACACTGCTGAAGAAAATATTACTGAACTTGAAGGTATAGCAATAAAAATTATGAAAAATGAAACAGAGATAAAAGAGAATTTTAAAAAATGAAAACAGCATCAGTGAGCAATGGGACAACAAGTAGCTTAATATACATGTGATTGGAGTCCCCAAATTAGAGGAGAAAAAAGTGAGACAGAAAAATTATTTGAAAAAGTAATAACCCAAATTGTTCTAAACATGATGAAAACTAAAGACTCATAGATTAATGATAGCTGGTGAACCCCAAGCATAAGAAACATAGAAAACTACACCAACACAAAATCTAATATTGTTAAGCTGTTTATTCTCCCAAAATTGACCTATAGATTCAATGGAGTCCCAATTAAGACCCCACCCAACTTGTGAATAGAAATTGACAGTCTGGATCTCAAACTCATATAAGCATGCAAAGGACCTAGAATAGTCAAACACTATTGAAAAGAGCAACAAACTTTGAAGGCTAACACTGATTTCAAGACTTATAAAGACTATTATAATAGACTTTCAAGACTATTATAAAACTACAGTAATCAAGTCAGCGTGATACTGTTGTAAAGACAAACAACTAGATCAACTGATACTTTTTTTGAGAACAGGTAGCGGGAGATTCATTTTAACAGGGTGCTGTGTTTGGAGGGACCTGCGTTTTCAAACGATAGATTTCTACAGATATTTTCCTTTCGAGACCTAGCATCTTTAGGCAAGGGGAGGTTCCTGGCTGTGAGGCTCCTGTTGTGTGAATGGGGAAACTGAGGCTGCAGTGCGCAAGTGGAAAAGAGGGAGGCATGCTCCCTGGGCTGCGGGGGTGGAGAGGGACATACAAGCTGCTTTGTCCTGCGATGGGCACAGTTCAGCCAGGCCAAGTACCAAGTGTCAGGAACACAGCACTGGCACTGCAGTCCAGGGAGCTGCTGGCAGGACGCCTCGCATGCAGGCTCCTTCAGGACTCTCCTTCAGACTTCGCTTTATGGACACTCTAACAGGGTGTGTGCCTTTGCCCTTCGCAGCAGAGAAGGCTGATCAAAGACTCAGTAGGAAACTGGTGGTGAGGCAGGAAGTGGTGTCCCAGTCCTGAAGGCCCGCAGTCTGCGTGCATTCTTGGGGTGCTGGGCCTTGGGCTCTCCCTGTGATGTGTGCCAGGTGTACAGAGACTGGGTGGACTGTCCCATTGCAATTGCATGATTGCATGGCAGGTTGCAAACTAACCTTTCAACCCACTGTGTCTCCCACCCTGTGCCCCAGCTGCCCACTCCGCTGCTCAGGCTCAGGATCGACCAACCGCCGCCGTGTCACCCCTGCGTACCCAGAACTCCCCATCCCGCCTGCCCACCACCAGCCTCAGGCCCCACTCCATGGTGTCCCCGCAGCACCTCCACCAGCCCCCAATGCAGACCGTCCCTGGGGCCCAGTGCCCCCGGCCAGCCATCCCACTCACGTCAGCAGCATCGGCCATCACGCCTCCCAACGTCACTGCCGCCAACCTCAACGGGGAGGCCGGAGTGGGGCCTGGCAGTGGCCTGTCTACGTCCAGCCCCACCAACATGGGATGCAAACTAGACGAGAAGAAAACTGAAAAGGTAAGTGGCCCATCCTGGGTGAGCCTGAACCCGAACCCTGGCCCTGGCCTAGCTGGTTATTGTAGCTCTTTGGCATCAAACACCAGATGTTTTGTCAATTAAGGCTTGAAGGTGGGCACCAGGCTCATGACAGACAAGGAGGCCAGCCCAGCACAGCAGCCCCTTGCTGTCTCTTCTCTCTCTCTCTTCAGTTAACTGTTCCCCATGCAGCGACTCTCCCGCTGGGCCTGACTTCTGTGACGCTCTCCTGCTGTTTACGTGCCCACAAGGCACTTGCCCTTTCCTGTGACCTTGGAGGCAGCATCTTTCCAACCATGTGTTTGAAAATGACTCATTCATGGGCCACAAGACCAATGTAGTATACGTGAACTAACATTTTTATTCAGATGGAACAGGACACATAGGGTGAAATAGACTAGATGAGCCTGCGTGGCACACAGTGGGGCAGGTGGTTGTAACTCCTGTTGTTGAGTGTGCTGAGTCCTGCTATAAACTCATTTCAAAACAGCCTCGGAGCCCTGAGGGTGCTTTGCTCATAGGAAGCATCTAGTGATATTTGTAGACTAAAGAGAGTTGGAAAAACTGCCAATGAGCTGTCACTGACATGGCCAATGAGAATGTCTTTATAGGTCCTGCTTAGGGAGGAGATAGTTTCAGTTTCATAAAATAATAGAATGTTGGCACTGGAAAGAGCCACTGAAGATCTGTTCATTAAACTCCTCATTTTCAGTGATGCTCCTGAGGCTCAGAAATGTTGAGAGACTTGTCTGGGGTCACACAGCATTGGCAGTGGAACCAGCATAAGAACCTCCGTTTCCCAGCTCCTAAGTCAGTGCTGTCCGGGCTTCGTTCAGTGTGCTGACTGTGGCAGCCTCTCCAGCGTACCTGAGCCTGTGACCTCAGCATGTGTGCTTGGCTTGTTCAGGAGTTCTGGCAGGAGGCAGTGCACTCAGTTCTGGAAAGGGGAGCGTGTGCCTGAGTGTCTGTCTGCCTTCTGGTCTTACCTTGGACTCCACTGCAAGTGGAGCCCCTGTGACTGTGAACCTCTTGACCACATCCAGGTGAATGGCATGACCCTTATAGTTAAGGCTTTGGGAAGACCTCACAGGATGACCCATAACAACAATACGTTAGCCTGGCCCAATACAGGGACATTATGGGAAATGTGTTTGCAGAAAACTTGTTCTTTATTATATCCACTCACCCATTTAAAAAGTGTGTGTGCCCATATGATAAGTGATAAAAAGACATATATATATAGGATTATGATTATATTTTTAATGAAAACCCAGGAATGTGCAGTCTAAAGGAATCTTGAGAATGAGCTCTTCAGAACAGCCTGCAGCATTCTCTAAGTATAGAGTCACTGGTATATGCACCTCCCATTGGGGCTCACCACAGTGAGCAAGGCTGCACTTGTCCTGCTCAGAAGTGTGGTCTGGGAAGGGGCTGCTAGAGGCTCTTTGCCAGCACCATGGTGCTACCAGAGTGTTTCCAGTTTGGAGACAGGAGATGCCTTTGCCCCCTAAGCTAGTCCTGAGTCCCCAGGCCCGGCGAGTGGGGAGGTGTCCTGCCGCATCTATTGACGTTGAGTGGGAGGTGGGAATAGGCTGAGTCTGACCTCGCCACTATTGAAGTCCCTGTCCTCACACTGACCTCTTGAGAGAATACTTGCCCCTGACTTGCTTGTAAGCATGCAGACCTTGGAGCAGTGCTGCATCTCACGTGTGACCCCAGCAGATGAGGATGACTCATGAAGCATGCTAAGCCCGCAGGCCCATGTGGCACATCCTGGTGGGCTTTGGGAAACCTGTCTGCCCTGTGAATGAGTCACTGTGGAGTCTGGCAGTCAGCTGGTCAGCTGTGGGCGTGGAAGCCACTTCCTGCCAGGGACACTCATGCTGGGCAGCTCTGCCTGCACCTGGCTCAAAGTGGGCACTCTGGCTAACAGCCCTTCTCCTCACCTCCCTCTATATATCAAATTCAGAAGAATTGACATTTTGGCAATATTCTGTCTTCCTATCCATGAATATGGAATATCTCTCTGTTTATTAGTTCTTTTTTTAATTTCATCAGAACTTTGAAATTTTTCTCAGAGAGACCTTGTACATATTTTTTTAGATTTATACCTAGTATTTCATTTTAGAAAATGAAAATTAATCTATGGTGAGAGAAAGCAGACCTGTGGTTTCCTGGGGCTGGGCAGAAGCAGCAAAGGCCTGCAGGGGGCAGGAGTGAGCATCTGGGGTCAGGAGATTGTGCTCTCCTGACTGGTGCTGTGGTGCAGGGGTATGAGTGTGTCGGAACTTCCCAAAGCTATATAAAGGAAGTTAAGACAACACTATTTTAAAAAGAACTCACTTTATTTTTGTGAAAATATACACTTAACAGCCTGAAGAAAAACAGCATGATTTGCATGTTTGTTCCAGAAACAGTACATCCCCTGTGATCTGATTCTACCATTCGCTTTCCCTCCGGCACTGACTGCTCGTTGCACAGCTGTCGCTGTGTCCACCCACCGCACCGGGCTGTGCTCTGCTGGAGGTGAAAATCCCACGGAAGCTTCTGCGAGGGGAGTTCCTTTCTTATGCAGATCTGTCCTTTGCAATTTGGCTGAAGTAGTGAATCCAGGTCCTCTCATCCCAGGACCCAGGCTGATGACCTGCCTCCACATGTCACCGCTGCTGGTGCTGAGGCGGAGGGAAGGAGCCTGGGAGGCTTCCATGAGCTGTGAAGTGCTTTAGCCTGAAGTGACATGCACCACATCTGCCCACACATTTTCCCACAGCTTTTTGCTCAGAACTAGACACATGGCCCCGCCCAACCCCATGGGGCCAGGAAGGAAGATGTTATGCCAGGATGGGGTCTGAGGGCCTTCCTTTTCCACTGACCCCCACCATCTGAGACTCCACATCCCCAGTTACAGATGGGTCCAAGAGTCAGGTCATGGAAGATAAACGTACCCATAACCCCTGGGTCACTTACCCGGCTCTGTCGCAGGGAGGCTTCTTGTTAAACTTTCCCATGTTCTCCTTTGCTGAGACTTGGCCACAGGGACGGTCGGTGCCTGCCAGTTCTCCAGGTCGGAGCTGTGTGCACTGCCAGCCGGGTAACGGGGCCTGGAGGTGTGCCATCGTCCTCCACGAGCAGATAGGCAATTCAGGGAAGAAAGAGACGAGGGTAGGGCCCGGGGCTGGGTGGACCTGCAGAACCGAGCTCGCCTGGATTCTCACATCTCCGCTCCTTTCAAATTCCCGTTCTCTCCTGGTCATTTTGATGTGATAACAACCACACAGGACTGCATGATGGTGGCTCCTTACAGAAATTTAGGAGCCGCTGCCAAAGTAAGATTGGACATGGATGAAAGCCCAGCTCGGGACCCGTATTCAGGGAGTGCTGCCTGGCAGGGCCTGGCTGTGCCAGCGGGGCAGTGGCAGGAGCGGGCCCAGCGGCCGCCGCCTGTGCCTGCGTCTCTGAGGCGGCCCGCGGGCTGGGTGTGCACCTCACGTTTTCTGGAAGCAGTCTGTCTGTCTGAAGAAGCACACGAATAGAAGAAGAGAATCCAAGCCACCCCACGGGGCCGGTGGGCTGCCTGTGGGTGCCTGGCATGCGGTCAGCCACCATGTGCTAAGGGAAATAATGGCTTTGATTATTACTGAGCCCAGAGCTCGGCATCCGCTCAAGGAAGCAGACTGCTCCCCTGGGCGCCTCTCATCGACCTGCCGCTGCCCTTCTGGTGGGTGCAGTGGATTCTTTCGATCGGCTTTGTTTTTAAAATTCAGAAGTGCGTGAGCCCCGCAAACCTGAGTAAATAATAAAGTGTTTAATCCTTCTTGTTCTGTTCCAGAAACCCTTCAGAAGGGTGCCAGAGTTTACAAAGACCGTCTTATGCATTTCATTTCATCCGATCATTTGTGGTAGCATGTGTTTGTTCTGCAGAAAAGCCAGAGGCCTGTTGGGAATCCAAGTGCGAGGCAAAGTTATCCTAATGGGACAAAGCGGTTGCACAGCCTGGGCTTCCTGAGAGGGAGCAGAGCTGCTCTGGCTTCTTATTTCCTCCCTTCTGCCTTTTGACCTAATCTCCTCTGAAGCAATTTTAAAGGGATTAATGTTATACTATAAATACTACTGGGTTAGCAGGGTCTTCCTATTCAATGAAAAGATGATGGCATTGAGGCTGAGGTGGCAGGAGAGCAGGGTCACGCATTTCTACAGCTTTTTGGGTGCTGAGTCCAGAAAAATTTCTGAAGAATTGAAACCTCAGCACTTTAACCCTCCCTCCCTGAACAATATTCAACCCAGTTAACTCTGCCTCAGCCCTGTGATAGTTTGCCTAAGGAAGGCAGCTTCTCTCCTGGAAGAAATATGAGTGCCGCAAGAGGCCTGGTCTGGTCCCCATTCTGTGTCCAGGCCCCTCTGAGGACTTGGAGGTGAGAACTGACCCTGGTGGAGGGAGCAGCTGTGCACTGGGCAGGTGCAAGTTGGTGCACTGGGCGCACGGCCACTTGTCAGAGCGGGCCAGAGTGAGCCTGTCTGAGAGGCCCCTGAGCACCCAGGCTCCCCGGGTCTCTTTCCAGGGGTCTCCTAACTGTCTCTCATGCTCGATCTCATCAGTAGCTCACCTTATCCTGGGGTAACCAGTCCCTCACACCCACACCGCCCCCAGTTAGGGTCAGCAGTGCTGGAGGTCAGGGACTGGGAGACCCTCCCGTGCCTGTGTAGGGGAGACATATTCAAACTTGCAGAGTCTGAATTCCCCCGGCTGTCTGAAGAATGTCTTCGAAGTAAAACCTTCCACCTCAATTCCCAGTTATGCCTTAAAATCAGGACAGGACCTTCTAGTTTCTGAACTCTTCATCGGTGGGAAATGTGATTTGTTGGTTTCTACATCTGGCTATTTGGTTTGCTTGGTTATCTCGGAGCCTTAATGCTACAGGAAGTTCAGGAATGGCATCCTTCCTTGCAGAACTCTTTGCATCCATTATTTGAATCCTGATTTG